CAGACAGGCTGAGCTCACAGTGAGCTGTATCAGGGTCCAGAGTCACAGCAGCTGGGGAATAAAACAGCAAACATCACAACAGGCTCCTGCTGATTGCATTCCAATTCAACTCCATTATACTGTGAAATGTCTTTGTCCCCCAAACACACCAAGAGAGAAAAACAAGTATATTACTAATTACTTCTCTTCCCTTCCAGAGAAATGACATATTCTGTCATTGTTTCACAAAGTATTACACATGGGAGTGATCCCCAATATCTTCTAAATAAAAATATTAAATGTGTTTTACCAGACATGAATCTGTTTTTTTAAACGACATTAATATGTGAAATTACAGCTCAACAACATGTTTTCAGAAACTTCAAATCCCACCACAACGACCTGTTTACTGTAAGAAACTGGACAGCTTGTCTTTTAAAACGGTTTATTTCAAATCCCAGTTCAGCAGCTCGTTCATCTTCTCTAAGACCATTTTCCTGATGACGCAGAATAAAAAAGTGCTGAATTCAAAGAGCAAAAATTGCTATATTCACCAGAAGAAGGCCTCACAGCTGAAATGTTATGTTTTCTCTCTTCTCTTTTCAGCATGGAATAAACCTATTACTTGTTCTATATTCAAGGACTGCATAATGCTTATTTTTTACAGATCAGAATATAATGGAAACAGAAAAACCATTCTGAAATATAAGAATACCATCACACTTACTTTGAAAATGCCAAGCAATATCCAAAGTATTCCATTTAAACCAGAAATAACACATCCAGAAACCCGGAGAGAAACAGGCGCTCATACTGACTTCAGACTGCTCGCGCTCACTGTCCGCCTCTCTGGTAGGAGACACCAGCTGTCAATCAGTGAGCTCTGACCACTGAGAGATGGGGGGCGGGGCTTGTACATATTCAGAGTGAATAGGGGATTTAATCAATTCAATTCAAGAAGCTATTTTATTTGCTTTATTTTTATACTGAATAAATACTCTTCTTCACTTTTCTGCCTGTCAATCTAGTGAAGATCAAAGAGATTCTTATCAGCTCTTATTGTTTTACTCCTGGAGCCTAGTAAGGCTCATCCACCAGTCACAGTACCCTGCAACTCACAGCTGGCAGCCCACTGAAGCTCAGCAGGTGTGAGCCTGGTCAGTACCTGGTCAGTACCTGGATGGGAGAGCTCCTTGGAAAAACTAAGGTTGCTGCTGGAAGAGGTGTTAGTGGCGCCAGCAGGGGGCGCTCACCCTGTGGTCTGTGTGGGTCCTAATGCCCCAGTATAGTGATGGGGACACTATACTGTAAAAAGGTGCCGTCCTTCGGATGAGACGTAAAACCGAGGTCACCTATTCAAGTACTAAAAATAAATAATATTGAATTAAATTTTATGAAAAGTACTAATATTTTTACAAACAAAACTGCATATTTTGCAAATGGTTTTGTTACTTAAAAAGTTAATGTGAAGAATGTAGCTGCTTTAGTTGAGCAGTCAGAGAAGTGATATCTGGATCCACCCTGG